GGCCGCAAATGTACGTAGTAGTTTCATCGCGAAATGTCGATCAGCATCTTCTTGGGAGAGAATTCAGAGCCGGCATTTGATGACAGATACGCCCTGGTCACACTCGCGATGTCAGCTCGGCCGTTACTAACGACTGAGTCGCACACCTCGAAGACGTTGGTCGCATCTTGGGTCCGGGCCGTGGTCTAGTGCACCTCGAAATTACGCCCTGGATGACGGCTTTGAAGGACAAAGACGACCAGGAAGATGACGAGGCTACAAGCCAGGTGAGTACGTCACGCGAAACAGCGCCTTGAAATCGCTCCTCACCCTCTCCGGATACCCAAGATGGTGACTTGGGCGAAGTCTCTGAGAGCACCTCGCATCCGACCGCAGGATCACCTCTGCCCGCCTCGCAGGTCTCAACGGAAAGCCCATCACCTCGATGTCGCCGGTGGACGTGTTGGGACCTTTGTCCTTCTTGCCGCACGTCCATGGACGCCAACCCCGCGTACCCGCTCAATGGCATGACCTTTCCACACGTCTGAGAACCGAAACCAGCACTATTTCGGCTCTCTTTCGGTTCTCATCCCTTTTTTGCCCGTCAACGACTGCGCCACAAATTGAGTATTGCAGCAGGTGGTCCTTGGCACCAATCAGCCTCACGGGTCATCTCAGCGGTAAGTGCCACAGCCTTCCTCTGGCTTTGACGCCTCGCCTGAATGATAGCCCTTGTCACGGCGCAACCTAGAACAGGAGAAATCGCTGTCAAGGGTGCAATTGCAACATGAATTCTAAGACGAAAGAGTCTAACTAATAAATGCGCGAGGAACGCGATAGAAGAGTTTGTAGGTCTTCAGCCTCGTGCGGGGTACTCAGCCTCATGAGGGGAAACCTGCACAGGCACCTCAGGCCGTGACAGCCCTACTGTAAGCCCCATGAAATCCAGTGCTGCTTCTGCCTACGGGCGGACCGCGGCCGGAAAAGTAATTCCGAGAGAAAGCGGTACGAAGTCATGAGACAACTACGGTACGGTGGAAGCAGAAGAGACAGGCTCGAGAGAGTGCATCGTTTGCGAAGATTTGGTGCATCTCATGTTCCCTGGGAGGCTGGCGATGGTCACTGTCGACGTTGAGAACTCACTTCCCACCAACCAACCAATCAGATGTCAGTGCCGCATTCCCCCTCATGAATCTCCCTCACGTCAGACTGAATCTCACGTGTGCCTCTTTCCAAGTAAAGTTCGCCTTGGCGCACCATACTCCGTGAGTGTAAGGAAAATGCTGCACATCCACCTCATGCTGGAAAAGCTCCGGCTCCTCCTTCTCGTCATTGGAGTCGCTGCTCTGCTCGGGATACTTGGGGGAGTAGCTGCGAAGCTCCAAAGACCTGTGATGTTGGTCCATAAACTCGGGAGATCTGTCTTCGCGGTTGGTAGTCGCGGAGGATCCGTCATGGTCGTCCCCGGGCTCGGAAGATTCTACATTTATACCATCGCCGCAGCCTGCTGCTAGTCGTTTCAGCTATCCCACTCTCTCCTTTTTGCTTTTCCATGCATGATTATTCAGTTTCTGTGTATTCTTCTGCGCTTGGCGAGATCGCGGATCTTGTTCCAGTCCACGTCGTCTATAACATGGCTGCTCTGGTGAGAAGGCACCCTGTCCGTGCTACGGCTGGTCCCCGCATTACGTCTGATGGGGTCCGCGTGTTGGCCTACAGTCATTTTCTTTGCAGGCGTCGCTGTATGTGGGTCCTACCAGTCATACGGATACAGGCAGAGAAGCAGTACAGTAGTCTTGCGAATTCCGGTGGATCCCTACAAGTCCAGGGTTGGACACCCATACCCCTGTATCGGACGCGTGCGTGCTGCGGTCATCCAAAGAAGAAGAGCACAGATAAAACAGACGGAATTAAGTTGAAAAACAGACACATTTTTAGAATAGAGAGACTTGTCTGCAAAATGGGGACGAGGACGTTGGTCACGAGCGACGTCGCTAAAGTGCATGTTGTATGAGATACCGCGTCTTGGCTGACTTTTCCTAGTAACTTCTCGTGGTGCCTGGACATGTGCAACTGCAATTAGCGGACGAGGAGCGCAAGCCCGACAAAGGTCTTGTCTGGGGGATGCAATGGTTTTTCTGAGCCGTTTGATGAGGCCATTTTCACTTTGTTCGCATCCGACTCTGCTCGTCCTACACGGTAGGCAGGCTCGGGAGAACGCGTTTGGTTGGGATGGGCTTTGAGAAGGGTTCGTCTGGACCGTCTGCTGGGGCAATCAGAAAAATCAGCTTTGTTGTCAAAAGGTATTCTTGAGCTCGGCCGTACACGAATCTTGCAATTTAGACTCCGGATTCATTTTCGCGGTCGGCGGCGTTTGAATAGAAGAAGTACTTGTGCCGAGGCTCCTTGACTACATCTCGCGCAATCACAACCTGGATACCGCGGCAAGGTTTGTCTGGGCATGTCGCCAACTGCCTGGTCGAGGACGTGGAGGGAAGTTTTATTGACTTTATCTTTAAATCGCACTTGGCTATGGGCCAGTGAAACCGGGTGAGCTGGATCTGCGAATGCTTCTTATCCAGGGCACACTAGGGACAGAGAGTGTCGATGAAATTTGACAGGGGCATCACCACCCCTTTTGGGGCGCCTGTTGTCCCGGCGTGTACGCCGTGTTCGTCATCGTGCCCATGCCCCCGCGGCCACAGTGGCAAGATGTGAGGCAAGGATCCGCGCCTCTTCCTGAGATTCCCTGCCATATGAAAGACATTGGACACTCGAAACTCGACACACGAGTCGACGCCCAGATTCGATGCGCAATGGGAACAATGACCGCCTTCGCGAGGTGAAGGTGATGGGCTCGAGTCTCTAAAAGAGTGGCTGGAGGCCTTCTTTCCTACTCCACCCCCGTGTCAAGACTCCTCCGTCGTACTGCATTGGTTTCTGCCAAGGGTTATCTGTGCAATATGCAGGGTGTGTTCTGCGGCCTTGCTGGTTTGGTCGTCTGCTGCGCCATTGTCTTTGGAAGGGGGGAGGCGGGAGTTGAGGTAGGGGGACTTGGAATCGACGAGCTCCGAGACACCCTTGTTACATTCCCTCATGTGATTATCCTTTGAGCATTGCGACATGGTGCTTTCCCGACCACGAACAGCGGCAGGGTGACTGGCCAGTGCATGCGCGATGTACCCGCGTCTGTTTCTATTCGGAAGATTGTCCGCATCATTTCCAGAAAATGCTGTTGGCTGCCTGGATCGGAAAGAATGACGCCTCTAGCCTTAAAAGTAGCTTCCCCGATAGGATCATCGGTGGAACCCTACCTGCCACGTCCACTAATCAAGGGATGTCCTCAGTCAAGGGTCTTATCGATTGCGTTATGTCCTGGGACTACGCTCGGGTGAAGCCGTCGCGTCTCTGATTGGGTGAGTAGTGAGCCAGGAAGCCGTCTTGGCATGCATACCGTGCAGGAGGGGTAAGAAATGCCTCACCAGTCATTCAGGACAGTGGTTGACTCGCGAGGAGCACTCCCATCTCGCGTGTTTCTTCTCGCCATGCGACGCGAAATGCATATGTCGTGTCCAGGTGGCAGCTTGAAACGAAGCAGTGAAGGGTTGCCGGACTGGGCTGGGTCGGGGTTGGTCGGGATGCCCGGAGAGGCTAAGTAAGAGTGGTTGAATAGTATGGGGACGGTCGAGATGAATGGACAATGGCCAAGTCTTGCCCACCTGATTGGGTCATGTGTCTCGGCGTGCAATGGTGACTGCGGCCGCAAAATGGGGCAGGCTTTCCCCTTTCGGCTTAGTTCGTCATTTCCACAAATTGCGCCACTACCCCGCATCCTGCAGGGCAGGTGGGCCATTATGCGGAGCCCCGCATCGACGACACTGCCCTAGCCCTGGTCTGGAAGGTGAGCCGAGTAATTTCCACTGCGGCACATGGCAAATCCGTAGGTGCGCCAGATAGATTTCCTTGCCCAATCATTCAAGTTATTCAACTTACACTGGACTGGGGTGCCTGTTCACATCTTCGCTATCGTCCTGTAGCGGCAGGGATCAGCCCTGCTCATGAGCTGCCAAACCCCGCAGGCCAATTTGCTCTTCCTATCTCAAGAATGGTCAAAAGAACGGTGAGTGTGATGTGCTGCCATTCGTAGCACTTGGTTTTGCATCAGTGGTGATTCGAGGGACAGGACACCTTAGTCCCCTGCAGTGATTGCACTTATTTGGCCGCGCTTTGCGACACTTTTGCACGGCTGGAGTGGTCTACTTTCCGGGTTGCGATCGTCGAGACTACCGGAAATGAAAGGCAGAGACTAGGGCTGCTGACAGCACCAAGGATGGAATGTGACAGGAATACGCGTCCAACACCGTTACCTCCTGTCCAATCAATTCCCAACGAGTTCGTCGTATCAGCTGTCTGGGACGAGGGACAACGCTAACCTGAATCTGGTCTGTACGCGACGCTTCCTACCGTCAGCGGATCACCGTAAACAATGAAAATCGTGACCGGGTACTTCGCGTAATTTGCCTGTTGCTCGGCCAACGTGAACCCAATACACAGGCAGAGAGATAACACCGTCCGGGCCTTGACTCCAACCCCCTTTTTTTTCTATAAATGATTCACCTCACCGACCACGAGGACACCGTCATGTACCATCTCAACGCCGCCCGAAGGCCCTTTTTATTGTTTGTTTGTTTCTCTCTACTCTGGAGCTCGTCAACTAGAGTAAATAGCACCGCTTTTGTCCTCCACATTGTAGAGCCCTCAGTGGCTGCGCTGCTCCATTTCTGTTCAGACATTCCATAGATACTGTTTACATCGCTCGTCACGCTTTCGTCGCGGGCGAATACTTATAGGGATATCTGTATCTCGAAAATTTCTACATCTTTCGGAACCGCCAGTAACCTAGCCCTTCCCCCAACTTGCAACCCCGTTGTTGACCCGCCATTCTTCGCCTATAGTGGATCAGAGAGTCTCGTCGCCACACTCGTTGCTCGAATCCTGCGACACCAGGTCGAACTCCAGGCATGGCTGGACGAGAAGCGCAGCGACTGCGAGACGCTGAGACGGCGCTTGGGAGACATCTGGCGCGTCTCGCCGCATTCGTCCATCTGGACCAACTACCTCAGGAACTTGAGTTGTTATTCGAGCCTGCCAGCCGGTATTCGCTGAAGCTCGATACCGCACCCACAGAGTGCTGCATCACAACCAATGCGCTGCCGGCGCCGGCGCCCGCTGACGATATGGAAGTGATCGAAAGCCAGCACAGCCTGCTGAATGCTAGTTTCATGGCGGTGCACTTTGGACCCAAGCTGACGAAGGCAGTGGAGGGACTGGTGGCGTACACGGCCCACGCATACGCTTTAACGGGCCAGGTGTACGCCAGCGCCTTCAGCCGGGCGCGCGATTGGTCCGACCCAACGCAAAACCTGTTCCAACAGGTGTGCTGAGCCTTGATTTGCATGAGCTCCTGTTCCCGCGACTACGTCAAGTTCGCCAACGTCGAGGGAATTGGGTGGACAGAAATAGTGGGAGGGTGCATGAGCAACGCCGCCAGCTTCAAGTACGGCATCCTAGGAGGAAGGCGTGTCGACCAGTCCCCCGAGCTGGTGTCGGCCTTCCTGAGCGACTTCCACGACGACGAAAGGTCCCTCCGGGAGCACTCCGTCCACATCCTTCCTGGTACTGGATGGGGCCATTCCTCGTGTGGCTCACACGCGACTTGCTGTCCTGGTCGAGCTTCGAGGCCGCCATCCGCGCCGCCGTGGCAAAGGGCCGCGCCGAGGGCAAGCGCAATTTCCAGGTGCTCGTGCTCTCCATCCGACATCTTGTGTACGGCGACATGACGCCCGAAGCAGTGGTGCACTCGAAGCGTTATGCCATGTGGACCCAACCCGCCGACGACCGGGCCTCGTACCTCAAGAACGAAGACCCGCGGCTCCAAGAGCTTGAGGACGTGATCAATCATGGTGGAGCCGACGACGGCGAGTGGGTCGCCCCCAATAGGGTGCATGGCTTCAGCCCTCGCGCGGATTTTCCGTGCCAACGTCTTCCCGGATGAGGAAGATAACCCGTCAATGGAATCCCCCCATTCTGCCCCGAGGTGTCCTGGCTTCCATTTGAGTGAGTGAACCAGCCATCATTAATTCGCTTTCCACTCCTGGAACCAAGAACCACATCCGGTGTCTCAGTCCGCTAACATGACTTTCCACAGGCCGCTTGCGACGCATGTTCTCGACCAGCCCCTCTGCATCGTCGACCAGGGCAAGGGAGAGCCGGACCTCATGCAGTTTACGGGTTGAGACGAGATAGAGTTCCACGCCTTATATCCTCAGCTGAAGCGTAGAAAGGGCGGTGAGGTACGCTGCATTTTGCTCGTGCTAGCGAGTAGCAGCTCCTGCACGCTGCAAGACAAGCATGCTGTCCACCCCGGTGCTGTGGAAGTCCTGACCCAAGCCACAGCGCGTGAAGAACCTCGCGAATCCAGCAGATGCCGAGGAATTGGACACTCTCCCCAATCGAGACCTGAGTTGTTTCAAAACAAAGCATTTCTGTTGTCGCTACCACGATGACGACACCCTCTGGCGGCAGCCTTTCGAGGACAAAGGAACCAACTGGTTCTTGTTCGAACAGGTGCTCAAATCGCCGCTCGGGCAACGTATCATCTCACACCCGTGCAGCCTCGCCGCGCTGTGGGCGATTGTCTTCCTCGTCCCCATGGGCATAGGGGGCTGCGAAAGTTCGCGGTCCAGACACGTAAGGGGCTTCAACGGCGCGGGTCGTGCCGTGCTCCCGCGGCAGCGACTTGGTACCTACCTCCTGATGGGCCCCCGCCGTCTGCGGGTGCGTGTGGCGCGCCCCTCTGTCTACTTCGTCCCTCGGTTCTGGCCTGCGAGCGAGAACACGACAGAGGGGTGGCGGCAGGCCGTGGCCGAGGCGAAGAAGCAGACCGAGCTGGAGTACTGTCGTGAAGCGTTTGGGCTTTGAATCCACAAGGAGAACACTTAAGTCTTGTGTTTCTTTTTTATCTTCACCTCCACCCTCCCCCCCCTTTTTGTTCTCCGTTACAGCGACAAGAACAACCTCGCCGTCTTCGTCGTGATCGGCACCAAGTTCCGGCTCCTGCACGTGACCGAGCATTCGAAGCTACCGACAATGAAGAAGGGGCCGCGGGATCCTTTCACGTTCAACCTGGAGCGTGATAAAAACGCGGCTGGTGGGGACACGGAGCCGCCGTGGCAGCACTGCAAACGCATGGAGCCCTAACTGAAGAAGACGCGGGCCTAGAAAGACTCACATCAGCACGCAGGCAAGGAAGGACTGGCGCTCCGTCAAGGCCGCGCTTGGGTGGGCCGGGAAGCTGGCGGACGCGCGCGGCGAACAGGAGACGGAAAGTATGGCGAAACTGGACATGTATTGCATCTGGTCCAAGGGGTAGGAGCATTCTGTAGCTACCCCTTTCTCTTTCTCGATATCTGGATTAGCGTGGAGTACGGTAATGTGACAGGATTCCAAACGCCTCCCCGAGAGCGCTTTGTAATGAGTCTAATCGATAGGTACACAGATATTGTACGGTATGTTAGATAGATAATACATTTACCCACGTTCAACCCAGTAGCATCGTCTCAGCGGATCGTGGCGATGCGATGCAATGGGTAGTCTGATAGCCACGGCGGTTTCGATCCTGCCCTCTTTCCCACTTCTGCCTTGATATCTCGACGGGTCGGCAGCGCTCCCAGGCTGTGCCGACCTGGCCGCGTATCACTACCCTGTCCCGTGCCCGCCGGAAGCTCCCCGTTCAGCGCTCCAAAACTGTGTCGCCGCCGCTCCTGCTCCAGCAGCTTTCTGGACAGTCCTGCCGTCTCATTGATGGCCCGCTTCGATGGATCTCCACGCACATGTCTGATTGCGTTTTTAGTTATGCGGCCCACGCTGCCGATGCTCCTCCTTCCCGTGCTTACCGGCCCTGGGTTTTCGGGGGCAGCGTCCGTGGGTGTGCGGAAAGGCGGTTCGAACGTTGTATCCAACGAGTGCGGTCCCACCGGCGACAGTGGTGGAGAAAAGTCGTGGTTGAGTTCCTCGATGGGGAGGAGCGTGCCGCTGGCACTGCTGGGAGGGAGCGTGTCGATCGAAGGCGAGACGCTCGCTCTGCTATCTGTTTCAGATCTCTCGATTTTTGGCTGTCTGACGAGCGGCATGCTGTGGTGTGCTTGTTGTGCTCTCACTTTCTCTGGCAGCTCCCTCTTTTTCACACGGCCCCCGATCGGACCCCCCTTTAACACTGTTGATTGCTGCTGCTTCCTCCTACTCGTCGTCGTATTCGTTTTGGTCATTGTCGTCGTCGACATCGTCAATGTCTTTCGGGTCGGGGACAGCGTCAGGAGCGTAAAGGACTTTTGCGTCGAGGCTATAGACTGTTTGAACTGGTCAGAGGACATGCTAGAAGCGAGCGTGCTGCCATTGCCGGGAGGGGTTGTGTCTTTCGAGGCTATAGAATCGTCCAAGTGGTCGGAGGACATGCTGGAAGCAAGCGTGCTCGCACTGCTGGCAGGGATTTTCTCGTCGTCCGTGAGGCAGCTAGGCGAGGAGGATGGGGTGTTGTAACAGAACGAGTCATCCAAGACAGCGGGAGCGGGGCTTGCCGCAGTGGCAGACGACTCCTCGACCGTCTCTTTCAACATTCTCTGCACGCCTGAGATGCGCTGGTCTGTTGCTTTTGCTTTTTCTCTCCCTGTTGGCCGTGACTTCTTCCCCACGTGGCTGGTGCTGCTGGCGGTGAGTGCTCGCAAATTGTCATTTGGGCGGCTCCGTTGAATGTCTCGTGTCAGCGGTCGCCTCGTGGACCCCGTCAGCTGGGCTGGGACTGATCGGCTCGTGGGGACCCTCTGGGGTGTCGAGAGTGGAGGTAGAGAGGACGAGTTGACGACTGATTTGGGGGCAATATACGAGATCTCCGCGGACGGGAAGTCCTTGGATGTGCTGTAGGCATTCTGGGCCTCATGGACCTGTTGCGATATCTCTGGGTCTGTGTTTTCCCGCTCGGCGTTGTACGCACTGGAGACTGTGAGAGAGAGCGCGAAGCCCGTTAGAAACTCAGAACGACATCAATCGAGGCATGCAGACCTGCGGCAGGGCGGCTACAAAGATAACGTACCTGATCGGACTTTGTTTGTCACTTCTTCGAGCATTGACTGGGAGCAGTGGTAAAGTATGTTCCAGAGCTCATGGCTCGTCGGAAATTTCCAGTCCGGAGCCGGTCCTCCATTGATAAAGGAAGAGGGAAAGGATTTCCGTGTGATGTCGGTCAATATCTGTGACAAGTATGGGTATGCCGCTATCGTGGCGAAGTAGTAAGCTTCCGGTGCGGTGGAAGACATCTTGGGCTTGTGGCCAACGTGGATTAAAATCCACATGACGTCTATTACAGCTGAGGCAGCGAGGCTGTAGTCGTGTCTCTTGTTGTTCGGGGTCGTATACGATGCTGCTCTGATGTGTCTGGACTGTTTAGGTGATGGATCTGACGAGAGGATGAAGAACGGTGAGGTCAAAAGCAGATGGGACTTTTACCCCATGTATCTTCATGGCCATGGGTGAACTGAGTCTTGTGCGGCGGTTGATGTAACCACTAATTGTGCGGTGCACGCGGCCGGCGCGAAATTGCGCGTCTCCTATTGGCTCCAGCATCAAACGCATTTGAGGAACTTCCCCTTGACGCTGCTTTATGCTCCGAGCGGGCGGCGCCCAACGGCTCATCCGACTGGTCTAAAACTAGAAGCCTCCAAGCCCTTGTTTGAGAACGGTTCTCTCTCATCCAATGAATCACCAATTCCGACGCACTGGTGATCCCGGCTGCCGTCATTTCATTTCGTGGCGCTGCACTACCCGTCGCGATCTCACTGAAGGATCCGGCAGACAGGGTTCTCGAGGTTCTCAACTTGACAGTCTCGGTTTCATTCAAAGCCGCTGCGCGATTTACTGAGATTTTCATCCGCCTTTGGCTTGCTGCGACGACAAATGCCTGCAACTGAATCCTATTGCACAATTGACTGAGAGTTTAACCAACTTTGCTTCTTGCGACGACCGATACCCATGACCTCATAATACCTGTGTGCGAAGCCTTGAAGCCCCGCCTTCGATGCGCAATCTCATGCATCTGGCTCAAGTTGTGCCTACGCTGCACTGCGTGCAGCTGACTGCCACGGTAAAATCTCGGGCTTAAAGCGGCCGGTCGGTCCAAAGTTGAACCGTTTGGGGGTGAATTCAAGGGTCGAAATCCGTTTGCAGCCGCCAACGCCAGTCCCACAAGAAAAGCTTCCGTGTTCGGAGGCGCTTTGTAGATGATGATGTCGCCGGCTTTTCCCTCCCTGCATGTTATTTCTACCCCTCGCGCGAAGAGAAAGTTATAAATCTTTCCCCTTGCCCTTCGAATTTGCCACAGGCACAAGCGAACCCGCAAGAGCATCGTCGGTCCACACCCAGGCTCTCCCCCAGCGGTTCATGAACTTCGTCGGACTTGTCGGAAATCGCGATCTGCGGACGGGACACGAGCAAGTCGGCGCGGGAAAGAAGGAGACAGCACCACACATCGTCATCGCTGAGCACCGCCCGCGGCAGGAAGATGTCGCACTGGCTCGAGAAGTCAAGGTTCGGTACTATCGAGGGGTTTCCTCGGTGTAGGTGGACCGAGACAAAGTACGCCGTCGTCAGTACGAAGAGCGATGTCCTGTCATCGCTCCCATGCGGCTCCTCCGGCATGAATATGGACGGCCGTGCTTGTGGCGGTCGTCAATGAAGGCATCCATATATTTCTGTAGTCTAACTACAAGTTGCAGAAGAGAACGTTTGCCTTGCCATAAAAATCTTCGGTCAGCCAAATCTGTCAGTCACGGAAGCAGGAGGAAGAGAAGGAGGAAGGCGTGCCAGGGTGGAGGGCGGCTATTGGTGAGTTTTGCTCCTCTTTATCTATAAGCACAGAGCTCTCAGAGTGTCCCTCAGAACCGACGACCCACTCCAGAAATAAATGCCTGCAGGAGAGCGAGAGTGTGACTCATACACATGAGTTCCGAGCCATGCACCCGCATTACACCCGATCAGAAATCTCGGTGAAGTCGGAAATGAGTGCGTGGCGCTTTGGCAAGCTTTCGGGAGAGGAACACCTACATGACCGGAGTCTTTTGCTGGAAAGGAGCGAGGCAACCATCTTTCTTGGACTCCCGCAACCAACGTTACCATCTGCCCAACGAGAAACACCAACTGCGAGGTTCACTTGGTGGATCGGGCTCCATATAGTTCCTCCAAGAAACGTTTGAGAAATTCCATGTCAGACCTGTCCACCACAGGTTCTTCATGACGGAAAACTGTCATAAGCGCCGCAGAGCGCAGCCAACAAGAGTCGGAATGCGCATGCATGCAAGACAGCAGGACAGAAAGGAGCGATGTGCTGTGTGATTCTGCTTTCCGCTGACACCATCGAAGACAATTTGATGTGCAGTTTGGAGGGTCCCCCCAGGGCCGAGACCCGAAAGTCCTCGATCAATACTCCTGTGAACACTACCCCAAGCTGCCCACAGCCAGTAGTGGCGTCGGTGCTGTGCAAACAAGACGCCTACAGGAGAAGAAAGAGAGGAGGTGAAGGGGAGGCCGAATGAAATTGGCGCAGCCCGCCTATCGGCATAGGTTCTTCCCAGGCCCCAGTCCAGGAACTCCTGATGCAAACAAACCGGCACCTCAACGTATGCGTGGAGCATACCGAGCGTGAGGTCTCGAAAAACATGGATAGTTGGAGGCGCGTGTGCCAGCTGCCGGCGCCGCCCTATCCCCAATCTGGTCTGGAAGGCCATTTATGTCGAGCCCTGTGATACCGTAAGGGTTCGTGGCGTGGCGCCATGATGACGCTGTGGCATGAACATGTGGAGATTGCCCTCAGGGTTCTTGTGGTTGGTGTGTGCTGGAGTGTCCGTTCTTAGGAGACGTTAGTCTATGGGGAAGGGAAAGATCTCGGCCTGGCCATATGCACTGTGGCATTTGAAAAGTGAGAGTGGTATTGCCAACATTGTGTGCGACGAGGAGAGGATTGGCCAAAACGTTTGTGTGTGTGTGTGTGTGTGAGATTGGCACTAGTTTATCTCTTGGCACGTTGATCACGTGCCATTTGAGATTTTGTTCACACAACAGAACCTCAACCATTTCAGATAGTCCTTCGTACTGCAATTCCAATCAACTGTTGAGGCTATTCGCATTGATTAGACCTGCGATCGTGATATATG